ATTCCGTCATTTCGTCACAGTCATTCTCTGTCCAGCTTTGTTCCCTTGCTGGTGAGCAGTTTTGGTCCTTTCTAGGAGGCGAGGTGTTCTGGTTTCGGGTGTTTTCCTCCTTTTTGTGCTGGTTTCTTCCCATCTTTGTGGATTTATCCACTTGTCATCTGCATAGTTGCTGACTTTTCTATTGGGTCTCTGAGTGGACGCCCAGATTGTTGATGATGAAGTATTTCTGTTACTTGGTTTTCCTTCTAACAGTCTAGCCCCTCTGCTGTAGGACTGCTGAGGTCCACTCCAGGCCCTGCTTGTCTGGGGTGCACCTATAGCAGCTGCGGAACAGTGAGGGATGCTACGAGTTTCTTTTTCTGCTATCTTTGTCCCAGGATGATGCCTGCCAAATGTCAGTCTTTTGGATATAGAGGGGTCAGGGAGCTGCTTGAGGAGACAGTCTGTACTTTATAGGAGCTCAATTGCTGAGCTGTGAGCTCTGTTGTTCATTCAGGGATGTTAAGCTGCTATGTTTGATTCTGCTGCAACCGAGCTCATTAAAAAAAAACCTTTTTTTCTCAAATGCTCTGTCTTGGGGGGTTCAGGCTTTATTTTTGGATGTCCATTGAGGTGTTCTGCCCAGCTAGGAGGCAGTCTAGTCACTGTTTGCCTGCCGAGGCTCCACCCTGCTGTTGTGTGGTTCGCCCTGTTGCTGCAGGCTCTGCTCTCCTGCTGCGGTCTCCGCCACAGGCTATGCCCTGCGGCGGAGTCTCTTTGTTGTAGCGGGTTGCCTCAGCAATGGCAGGCTGCGTCAGCAGTGGGCGTGTATCTCAGTAGGGGCGGGTTGCCTCGGCATTGGCAGGCTGCGTCAGCAGTGGGCGTGTATCTCAGTAGGGGCGGGTTGCCTCTGTAATGGTGGACGCCCCTCCCCCACAGAGCGTCTCAGGGACTGTCTGCACAGGGAGCATTTGGAATTGCGGTTTTGTCCGTCCCACTGAGCTACCCCAAACGCTGTGTCCCTGCCATTTCCTTGGCTGGCCCACTGTCCAAGTCCCGTTCAGTCTCAAGTCCAGCCCTCTCAAGTCTCAGGTTGCCGGTTCAACAGGGCACCCAGATAAGCGCGCCCTGTGGGGACCGCTGGGTAGGGCCGGCCGCCGCCACCCCGGCTGCTGGCTTCTCCAGGCAGTACCTCTGCCTGGCGTCCCACGTCTCCTTTATACTTGGGAAGTTCCCCGTTCTGTGGGCAACAAAGATCAGTCTGGAAATGCAGCTCTGACTCACCTCTCCGCGGATTCAATGAGAGCTTCAATCCTGGGTTGTTCTCACAGCACCATCTTGAGTCCTCCTGGTTTTGAGTTTTTTTAATCTTCCTCCTCTAGCTCTATCAATTTTGACAATAGGGTGTCAATTTTAGATCTCTCTTTGCTTCTCATATGGGCATTTATTGCTATATATTTTCCTCTAGAGACTGCTTTAAATGTGTCCCAGTGATTCTGATATATTGTGTCTTCGTTCTCATTGGTTTCAAAGAACATCTTTATTTCTGCCTTTATTTCATTGTTTATACAGTCAACATTCAAGAGCCAGTTGTTCAGTTTCCATGAAGCTCTGTGGTTCTGAGTTAGTTTCTGAATTCTGAGTTCTAACTTGATTGCACTGTGGTCTGAGAGACTGTTTGTTATGATTTCCATTCTTTTGCATTTGCCAAGGAGTTATTTACTTCCAATTATATGGTCAATTTTAGAGTTAGGTGCGATGTGGTACTGAGAATAATGTATATTCTGTGGATTTGGGGTGGGGAGTTCTGTAAATGTCTATTGAGTTTGCTTGTTTCAGGTCTGAGTTCAAGTTCTTGATATCCTTGTTAATTTTCTGTCTCAGTGATCTGTCTAATATTGACAATGGGGTGTTAAAGTCTCCCACTATTATTGTATGGAGTCTAAGTCTCTTTGTAAGTCATTAAGAACTTGCCTTATGTATCTGGGTGCTCCTATATTGGGTGAGTATATATTTAGGATCGTTAGCTCTTCTTGTTGCATTGATCCTTTTACCATTATGTAATGTCCTTCTTTGTCTCTTGATCTTTGTTGCTTTAAAGTCTATTTTATCAGAGACGAGAATTGCAACTCCTGCTTTTTTTTTTTTTTTTTTTTGCTCTCCATTTGCTTGGTAAATCTTCCTCCATCCCTTTATTTTGAGCCTTTGTGTATCCTTGCATGTGAGATTGGTTTCCTGGATACAGCACACTGATGGGTTTTGGCTTTTTATCCAGTTTGCCAGTCTGTATCTTTCAATTGTGAATTTGATACTGCATTTTGATGCTAGCTGGCTGTTTTGCCCATTAGTTGATACAGTTCCTTCATTATGGTGATGCTCTTTGGTATGTTTTTGGAGTGGCTGATACTAGTTGTTCCTTTCTATGTGTAATGCTTCTTTCAAGAGCTCTTATAAAGCAGCCCTGGTGGTGATGAAATCTCTCAGTACTTGCCTGTTCGCAAAGGATTTTATTTTTCCTTCACTTCTGAAGCTTAGTTTGGCTGGATATGAAATTCTGGGTTGAAAGTTCCTTTCTTTAAGGATGTTGAATATTGGCCCCCACTCTCTTCTGGCCTGTGGAGTTTCTGCTGAGAGATCTGCCGTGAGTGTGATGGGCTTCCCTTTGTGGGTAACCCGACCTTTCTCTCTGGCTGCCCTTAGCATTTTCTCCTTCATTTCAACCATAGTGAATCTGATGATTATGTGCCTTGGGGTTGCTCTTCTTGAGGAATATATTTGTGGTGTTCTCTGTATTTCCTGGACTTGAATATTGGCCTGCCTTGCTAGGTTGAAGAAGTTTTCCTGGATAGTATCCCGAAGAGTATTTTCTGGCTTGGATTCATTCTCTACGTCACCTTCAGGTACACCTATCAAACGTAGATTAGGTCTTTTCACATAGACACATATTTCTTGGAGACTTTTTTCTCTAATCTTGCTTCTCGTTTTATTTCATTGAGTTGATCTTCTACCTCTGATATCCTTTCTTCTGCTTGGTCAGTTTGGCTGTTGAAACTTGTGTATGCTTCGCGAAGTTCTCGTGTTGTGTTTTTCAGCTCCATCAATTCACTTATATTCCTGTCTAAGTTGTCTATTCTCGTTAGCATTTTGTCAGGTCTTTTTTCATCGTTCTTAGTTTCTTTACATTGGGTTAGAACATGTTCTTTTAGCTAAGAGAAGTTTCTTATTACCCACCTTTTGAAGCCTGATTCTGTCAATTCATCACACTCATTCTCCATCCAGCCTTGTTCCCTTACTGGTAAGGAGTTTTGATCCCTTGTAGGAGGAGAGGCGTTCTGGTTTCAGATGTTTTCATCCTTTTTGCGCTGTCTTCTTCCCATCTTTGTGGATTTATCCACCTGTTGTCTTTGTAGTTGTTGGCTTTCAGATTGGGTCTCTGAGTGGAAGTCCCATTTGTTGATGATTAAGTTATTTCTGTTTCTTAGTTTTCTTTCTAACAGTCTGACCCCTCTGCTGTAGGACTGCTGAGGTCTACTCCAGGCCCTGCTTGCCTGGGGATCACCTGCAGCAGCTGCAGAACAGTAAGGGTTGCTGCCAGTTTCTTCCTCTGCTATGTTTGTCCCAGACGGATAGCCGCCACATATCAGTCTGAGCTCTTTTTTATGAAGTGACTCTTTGGACATATGGGGGTCAGGGAGCTGCTTGAGGAGACAATCTGTCCTTTATAGGTGCTCAAGTGCTGAGCTGTGAGCTCCATTTTTCATTTAGAGCTGCTGGGCAGGTACATTTATGTCTGCTGCAGCAGAACTCATAAACCCCTTTTCTTTCCCAGGTGCTCTGTCCTGGGGATTTAGGGCTTTATTTATCAGTTTCCATTGTCCTGCTGCCTTTTTTTCAGGGCTGCTCTGCCCAGCGAAGAGGCAGCCTAGTCACTCTCTGCCTGCAGAGGCTTTGCTGAGCTGCTGTGGGCTCCACCCAGCTGCTGTGTGAACTTCCCTGCAGTCCTGTTTATACGGCTGTAGTTAGAACTGCCTCGGCAATGGTGGGCCACCTCTGTAATGGTGGACTCTCTCTGTAATGGCGGGTTGCCTCGGCAATGGCGGACTGCCTCAGCAATGGCCGACTACCTCCATAGTGATGGAGTGCCTCGGTAATGGCGGATGCCCCTTTCCCACAGAGCTGGGCCTTCCCAGGTTCAGCTGTGCTTGCTATGGAACTCTCAACCCAGAGCATTTCCAATTGCTGTTTTTTTGTGGGGGTGGGACCAGCCAAGCCTGATCACCTGGCTCCCTCCCTCAGAGCCCTTTTTTTAGTTGAACGGTCAACTCTTTCCCAGGTGTTCCAGTCGCCTGTTGAAAAGGCGCTGGGATCCATGTGATTTCCCATGCGGCGACCCACTGCACCAGCTGAAACAGCGGCGCTGAGATTAGTGGCACTTTTTTGCCATGTAATCTCCTGGCCTGACTCCCTGTTTCAGTCCCCTTTTTAATCAGATTAGTGGGCAACTCTGCCTTTCCGGAGCTCCACTTGCCAGCTAAAATGGCACCCAGACCCGTGTATTTTGTATGGAGAACCACCGCACCAGGGTGCCAGCAAAACAGCCGCGCCAACCAAAACAGCTGCGCTGGCGACCCATGGGGCTCCTCCACCTGGGAATCTCCTGGTATGTGGGCAATAAAAATCCGTCTGGAAATGCGGTGTCCACTCACCCTCTGCGCTTTCACTGGGAGCTGCAATCCTGAGCTGCTCCTAATCGGCCATCTTGAATCCCCCTCTCAGGTCTTTCTTAACATAAACTACACAAAAGGCAATGTCTATGATTTCCATTTTGTTTCATTTCAAGTAGAAAAAAAAATAAACTGAAAGATACTTGCAATACATAGAAGAGCAGAATCCTTTTAGATTTTTATTACATTTTACACTCTTTTACAGTTTCCTCACTCACACCTAATTTTACAGCATTTCTTTTTAGCAGCATTTTTAATGGATGTTTCCAAAAGTTTTTACTTAATTTTTTTTTAGTGTAAGAAAAAATGTCTATATTTATTACACTGAACAATTCTGACCACCAACAACCAATTGGGGGGCAGGAGAGAAGAACATCTTGCTTTTCAACAAACGTTTCTCTCACATTTTTGAGAATTCTTTCCCAGACGTATCACACCTGTATTATGACAGTTACAAATTTTCCAACTCTGCCACTCCTTCCAGTGCATTATTTTTAGTATCTTCATTAAAGGGGCAAAAGAAAAAAGATCCCCTAGCTGTAATAATGAAACAATGTTGGAAACAGTCATTAAAATAGGACAAGTGAAAAAAAGACCTGTTCACAGACTTTCAGGACTATAAATGTAGGAAGTACACAAAAAAAATTAAAAATTTATTATACTCAATAGAATACATGAAATATGTACAGCTTTTTGTATGTCAGTCATACCTAAGTAGTTTTCACAACAAATGATCCAACCCATACCACCAACTAATAAAGAAAACAACAAACAAATGAGTCATGCAAAAGAAAAATCATACATTTTGGTTTACTCCTACTTTGAGTTACGAACACTAACAATAATTTGCATGCAATGAATACGGTTCCCTAAATACAACAGATGAATTATTTTATATATACATCTTATTTTTATTTATGGAGAACTGGTTAATAGACAGATTTTAAGTTCAATATATCATGTATTTATGAGTGGGAAGCAACTTCAAACATTTTAAACACCAGAAATATTGAAAACAATTCGAAGTGAAATAATACAAAGTGCCTTGTGTATTGATCCTGGAGTCAAACCATAGAAATCTCAGGTTACTAAGAGAACTTTGAAAAATATTGTTTTGAATATTAAAAATCGTGTTTGGGGGAGGGAGAAAATTAATAGCCTTCCTTTGCCTTAAAATACATTTTATGAAATTGAATTGGAATGATGCAGCTCCTAGTCAGTGTTCAGAGGAGGGAAAAATTGAGCATAGGAGCAAACTATTGTTTTCCTCAACTCCTTCACAATGCTCAGCTGAAGAAGTTCACACTTAAAAGAGCTGCTGAAGGCCAGGCTCCATGGCTCATGCCTGTAATCCAAGCATTTTGAGAGGCTGAGGTGGGTGGTTCACTCGAGGCCAGGAGTTTGAGACCAGCCTGGTTAACATAGTGAAACCCCCTCTCTAATAAAAAATACAAAAAAAATTGGCTGAGTATGGTGGTGGTGCCTGTAATCCCAGATACTCAGGAGTCTCAGACAGCAGAATCACTTGAACCCAGGAGGCAGAGACTGCACTGAACTGAGATCACACCATTGCACTCCAGCCTGGGCAACAGAGCAAGACACTGTCTCAAACAAACAAAAAAGCTGCTGACGTCATTTCTGTTTTAGAAAGGTAGTATAAATGAGTTTTTCTACATATTAATTACAATTTATCATAATTTGTGAAATGTTTTCCCCATTTTTAAATGTAAGAGTCTATATCTGTCTCCACTCACAAAGCAACAGGCACTACTAGGGGTCTTAGGCTAACATCTACCACCCCATCAGTCTACATGGCCCATAAATAGGTGTGAAGGGGACCAGAGTTCACCTGTCAGCAACACCACGAAATCCGACTCTCCAGTCTTTCTGCCATTAATTCCCATGGATGTGGCCTTTTCCCTGATATTCTATTCCCATTGGAGGCTTTTTATTAAGACCTTATTCCTGTGAACACATTTGGGGCACAACATACTGTCTTCAAGGTGTGGAGGTGGAAAATTGGAGGCACTCACTCTCCCTTCTTGCTTCTCTGGGACCCAGGCCTGACCAGCATGAAACTGCAGGTGAACCCAAACATCTGTGTCTGCAGGGAGACGTTTCCCCTGGACCACACACCACCACCTGACACCACAGGCCTCTTGTGGAGATTCCACTGTCTCTGGCATCCTTGCCCTTGCTGAAATTCTCACCCAGGAGGCCAGCAAAGCCTCTGAGCCAGAAGTTGACACCACAACTATATTAGCTCCCTCAAGGAGAGCAGTGGACTTTTCCAGGGCAGGCAGCCCCTCCTCAGGGAGAAAGAAGTCCCACTTCAGGAGGATGTGTCTCAGAACTTTGCAGGGATATTTCCCCTTTTTCCACCGTTAATTTTTTTTGCAATGATTTCTGGATTTTGGCCTTTTTTGCTGTACTAGGAAAATCCTTTTGATTTGTGTAGGCAAAGGCACACAGATACCAGGCCACAGAACGTCCCGGTGAATCAGATTAACAGGTGGCAGTTTAGAGGGTAATGGAGGGATTGGTATCTTCTGAGGTCTGGGGATGTCACTGTACTCTGCCTTCTTCTTAGGGCAGAGCATTTTGTCACCCTTCACAGATATTTTTCCATTGGTTCCCTTTGCTGATGTTCCTGACAAAGCAATTGTGTTTTGTTGATTAGAAGCCTGCTGATCCTCTTCCCTCAACTTCTCTGTGGAGGTCTACTCCTTGTCTTTTGCCTTCTCCAAACTCAGAGAAGAAGCAGAGCTTGGCAAGATGCTTCCAAAATGGCCTCTGGCCCAAGATTCTACTTAATTTTTATAGAGAAAAATAACTTTCACACTCATATATCATTGGTTTATGTAATATTTATTTTAACAACTTAATTCAGTTAAAACTATTGTCATAGACTGGCCCAAACAAGTTTGGGAACAGACTCAATTGATTCTTGGATTGGCAGCTTACAGTTATACAAGAGAAGAGTCTAACAGCTTCAAATTTAAAGTATGCTATGACCATTGTTATGTTTAAGAGGAAATACAGAGCATCTTTCAATCGAATGAGTTATGAAGGTTGGTCAAGAGAGCTCCTACCTTATTTAATAGAACTAAAAGAAAACCAAAGAACTTTTTCCTTTCCCTTCTGCTCCCCTTCAAAGTTTCTTCTTCCTAAGATGGAATACTCAACTGCTGCTACCAATCAATATATAAAAATAAAGGTGGCAAGAAATACATAAATAATAATTTTCAAGATGAAGGCAGCAGTTTGGCAAACACTATGTTCCATGCCTTTCTTCCTTGGCTTAGCATGGACTAACAGTAGAAATGAGTTAAATTAATATGTAGGATAAGGATAGTGCCAATGGTGTTGACCCTAGCTTCCTCATTTCAGCATCCAAAAATTGAGAAGATACACATACAGCTCTCTGAAGCTAAGTTGGCATGGTAGTGATACATATTCTTGTCCATACTGCACCAAGCTGGCTTTCATCCCCATGACCATTTTTCTGACAAAGAGAGCTAGGCTTGATTTTTTTTTTATAAATGACTTGTATTATTTTGTTTGTTTGTTTGTTTGGGTTTTTTGCGGCGAGGGAGGTTGTTCTTGCTTTTTGGTTTTTTATTTTTTTTTTTCTTGAGGCAGAGTCTTGCTCTGTTGCCCAACATGATCTCAGCTCACTGCAACCTTGACTCCAGTAGGGACTCTGTGTGAGGACTCCAAACACACTGAGTTCTCTATTCTGATCCATTGGTTAATGTGTCTGTTTTGATGTCCAGACCATGCTATTTCAGTTACTATAGCTTTATAGTATATTATTGATTTCTGACAGTGTGATGCCTCTAGTTTTCTTCTTTTTGTTCAGGATAGCTTTGGCTATTTTGGGGTCTCTTGTGTTTTCATACAAATTTTAGGATTTTGTATTTCTGTGAAGAATGTCATTGGTATTTTCATGGGAATTGCATTGAATCTGTAGATCGCTTTTGGTAGTATGGTCATTTTCACAATATTAATTCTTCCAATGACATAGGATACTGTTTCTTTCTTTTTTTGTGTGTGTGGCCTCTTCAGTCTGTTTCATCAGTATTTTATAGTTGTCCTTATAGAGATTTTTCATCTCTTGGCTAAATTTATTCATGAATTTATTTGGTAGTTATTACACATGGGATTGCTTTCTTATTTTCTTTCTCTGCTAGTTTGTTGTTGGTGTATAGAAATGCTACTCATTTTAATATGTTGGTGATACATCATTTTGTATGTTGGTGTATAGAAATGCTACTCATTTTTGTATGTTGATATGTCATTTTTGTATTCTGCAGCTATACTATATCAGTTTTAAGAGTTTTTTGGTATAGCTTTTAGGATTTTCTATATGTAAGATCATGTCATCTGCAAACAGGGATAAATTGACTTCCTCCTTTCCTCTTTGGATGCCTTTTATTTCTTTCTATTGCCTCACAGTACTGGCTGGGACTTCCAGTACTATGTTGAATAAAAAGTGTTGAAAGTGGGCGTCCTTGTCTTGGCCCAGATCTCACAGGAAAAGCCTTCACCTCTTCCTCATTCAGTATGATATTGGCTGTGGGTTTGTCATCTAGGGCCTTCATTGTGTACATTTATTCTTTTTATACCTAAGTTGTTGAGAGTTTTAATCATGAAGGATTGTTGAATTTTATCAAATGTTTTCCTAAGTCTGTTGAGATGATCATATGGTTTTTGTCCTTCATTCTGTTGGTGTGATGTATCATGTTTATTGATTGGCATATATTGAACCACACTTGCATCCCCAGGGTAAATCCCACTTGACCATGGTAAATGATCTTTTTAATCTGCTGCTGGGTTCAGTTACAAGTGTTTTATTGAGCATTTTTGCATATAGGGATTTTGCATATAGGGATATAACATTTTGCATCAGGGAAATTGGCCTATAGTTTTCCTTTTTTGTGTTATGTCATTTTCTGGTTCGGGTATCAGAATAATGCTGACCTCATAGATTGAGTTTTGTAAGAATTCCTTCTTCAGCTTTACAGAAGTTTGAGAAGAATTAGTGTGAGTTCTTTAAATGTTTGGTAGAGTTAAGCCATGAAGTCATCAGGTCTTGGGCATTTCTTTGATAGGAAACTTTATTACAGATTCAATCTCACTACTCATAATCGGTCTGTTCAGGTTTCCTATTTCTTTTTGGCTCAAGCTTGGTAGATTGTATGTATTGAGAAATTTACCCGTTTTCACTAGGTTTTCTAATTTTTTGGCATATAGTTCTTCATACTAGTCTCTGATGACCCTTTGTATTTCTGTAATATCAGTTGTAATGCCTCCTTTTTTATTTCTGATTTTGTCTATTTGGGTCTTTTTTTCATTAGCCTAGCTAATGCTTTGTCAATTTTGTTTATCTTTTCGTAAAGTCAACTTTAATTTCATTCATCTTTTGTGTATTCTTTAGTCTCAATTTCAGTTATTTCTCTGATCTTTATTATTTCTTCCTTCTTCTGATTTTTGATCTGGCTTGTTCTTGCTTTTCTAATTCCTCAAGATGCATCACCATGTTGTTTCTTTGAAATATTTCCACTGTTTTGATATAGGTGTTTATTGCTATAAACTTCCCTCTTCATGCTGTTTTTGCTGTATACCAGGTTTTTATCTGTGGTGTTTCTATTTTCATTTGTTTTGGGAAACCTGTTTATTTCTCTCTTAATATCTTTATTGATCCTTTGGTTGCTCAGGAGCATGTTGTTTAATTTCTACATTTTTGTACAATTTTGAACGTTCATCTTGTATTGATTTATGGTTTTAGTCCATTGTGGTTAGAAAAAAATATTTGATATAATTTTAGTTCTTTTAAATTTGTTGAGACTTGTTTTATGGCCTCACATGGTCTATCTGGAGAATATTCCATGTGATAGTGAAAAAAATGTGTATTATACAGCTCTTAGATGAAATGTATCTGTTAGGTCCATTTGGTCTAAAATGTAATTTAAATCCAGTATTTCTGTGTTGATTTTCTATCTAAATGAGTTGTCCAATACAAAGAGTAGGGTGTCAAACTCCCCATATTATTGTATTGGAACCTGTCTCTCCTTTTAGATAAATAATGCTTGCTTTATAGTGGGTGATCCCATGTTCAACGCATATATATTTATGATTGTTGTATCCTTGTAGTAAATTGATCCCTTTATAATTATAGAATGACCTTCCTTGTTATTTTTTTACAGTTTCTGACTTAAAGTCTGGGGTTTTTAGTTTGTTTGTTTGTTTGTTTGTTTGTTTTTTGAGGTGGAGTCTTACTTTGTCACTCAGGCTGGAGTAGAGTGACACAGTCTTGGCTCACTGCAACTTCCACCTCCTGGGTCCAAGCTATTCTCTTGCCTCAGCCTCCTGAGTTGCTGGGATTACTGGTGCGTGCCACCATACCCAGCTAGTTTTTGTATTTTTAGTAGAGGCGGGGTTTCACCATGTTGGTCAGGCTGGTCTTGAACTCCTGACATTGTGATCTGCCTGCCTCAGCCTCCCCAAATGCTAGGATTACAGGCGTAAGCCACCGCATCCAGCCAAAGTCTGTCTTATCTGATATATATGTAGCTACTCTTGCCTGATTTTGGTTTCCATTTGCATCAAACATCTTGATGCATTTCTTCACTTTCAGTCTATATGTGTCAATATAGGTGAAGTAAGTCTCATGTAGGCAGCAAATAGTTGGGTTTTTTATTTTTAAGCCATTCAGCTAGTCTGTATCTTTTAACTAGAGAATTTAATCTATTTACATTTAAGATTTTTACTGATAGGTAAGGACTCCTGTCATTTCACTGTTTTCTGGTTTTGCTACCCCTTGCTGCTCATTCCTTCTGTTATTGTTTATCATTACAGTTGGGTGGTTTTCTATATTGATATGGTTTTATTCTTTTCTCTTTCTCCTTCATTAATCTGCTCTACCAGTGAGTTTTATGCTTTGTGTTTTTATGATAGTGACTATTGTCTTTTGCTTCCAGATATAGAACTCCCTTGAGAATTTGTTAGACCAGTGTAGTGGTAATGAATTCTCTCCATTTTTACTTGTCTGGGAAAGACTTTATTTCTTACTCATTTCCAAAGTGTAGCATTGCTGCATGTAGCATTCATGGTTAGAATTTTTTTTCTTTTAGCACTTTGAAGATATCAGCCCCTTCCTTTCCAGCCTGTAAGGTTTCTGCTTAGAAAACTACTGTTAGTCTAATGTGTATTTCTTATATGTGACTTGATTTGGAGACCTATGGATTTCTTGGGCTTGGATATTCATACTTTTCCCCAGACTTGGGAAGTTTTCAGCTATTATTTTATTAAATAAGTTTGTTATGACTTTTCCTTTTTTCCTGAAACTCTAATATTTGTTCTTGTATGGTGTCCCTACAGGCTTTCTTCACTCTTTTTCATTCCCCCCCTCCTCTCTCACTCCCTCTACCCCCCTGGGTATTTCAAATGACCTTTCAAGTTCAAAATTCTTTGTTCTGCTTTATCAAGCCTGCTGTTGAAGCTCTCTATTATCATTTTGTATTTCATTCTTTGAATTATTCAGCTGCAGGATTTCTGTTTGGTTCTGTTTTATGATTTCTGTATATTTGTTGAATTTCTCATTCTTATTAATTGTTTTGCTGATTTTGTTGAATTATCGATATGTGTTTTTTTGTATCTAGTTGAGTTTCCTTAAAATCATTATTTGGCAATTTCTTTTCCAGTAGTTCATTGATTTCCTTTTCATTGGAGTCTGTTACTAGAGATACATTCGTTTAGTGGTGTCATATCTCCTTGCTTTTTTGTGTTTCTTGTGTCCCCATGTTGATCTGTGAGCCTGGTGGAACTATTGCTTTTTTCAGACTTTCTAGGGTGGTTTTGTAGAGAAAGACTTTCACCTGTAGTTGGGTTTTGATGTGCTGCTTGCAAAGAGTGTGGTGAGTTTCTGGACAGGTGCAATGGTGTAGTCTCTATGCAGCTTTTTCAGTTGCATTCAATGTCAGCAATAACTGTGAGTACCTCAGTGGCCTAATCCATATAAGTTTGTGTCAGTGGTAGCATTGGCATAGATTATTAATATCCTTGGTGTCAAGGGCTTTTGGATTCCTCCTATTCTTGTTTTCCACACAATAGGGAAGAGTCAGCTGAAGGGATCCCTCTTGGTGTCAGGTCTGAAATGTCCTCCAAGCAGCTACAATGGCACTGGGCTCAAAATATGGTGCTTGGAGTGACTGTAGGGCTGGAATCCAAGGTTTCATGAATCCATTGTGGCACCTGGTTCTTGGGGTTCAGGTTCACTCTCTGTGGCAGAGTTGGGTATAGGTTATCCAAAGAACCAACGTTTATGACTCTGAGGTGCCCCCTAGCAGCTTGGATCCAGGTGCCCTGGTTGTACCTGTGATTTTATACCTGCTGTGTATGGTGTAGCACTGACCAAACTCCAAAGAAAAAGATTTTGGCCAAGGAAGCAGTGTATGGCTGCAGCTCAGGAACCTGAGCCAATGGGGCTCAGCGGCAACTGATAAGGTACTGTGTAGTAGTGACTCTAGACCCATGGATGGTGGGGCTACACAGATTCTTGCCTCATATTCTGAGGCCAGGTGCAGCAGCAGCAAATACCTTAGAATGGCAGAGCACAGCTGTGGTTTGATCCCCAGGAGGATACGAATCAACACAGAAATTACTCAACTCCCCAGAAAGAGGGTTATCTCGGCAGCTCAGACTCTAAGGGGCTATAGCCTAGCTCCAGAAAAGCAGGGTACTAGAGTTATTTGGCCTGTAGGTCAGGGTATCTTGGCTCAACCAGTGCTCTGTTTCCCTAGGACATGAGCAACTGCATCAGCTCATCCCTGGAATGCATAGGTGCTCAGCTTGGCAAAGTGTATGCCAGATACTTTCTAGGCCTTTCCATAACAGAGCAGTAAGTCTGGGAAAAGGACAATTAAAGACGATTAAAACAGAGGCTATCTCTAATGACTGTATGGAGTTAAGGGAAACCACAAAGGAATCTGCAGCACCCAGATGCTAACAACAGTGAGATTTCCTTACCACCTCTCAGTCTCAAGGAGCAAAGAAAGATGATGGTATCCGAACTTGGGAAGATTCATAGCTATGGGAGAGGAATGTCCAACAGCAGCTATTGCCCTCAGTAGTAGAGATGTCCTAACCACCACTACACTATACCCCAGGAGGAAAAGAACAAGGGGAATGAACACCCTACTTTTCTGTCTCTCTTCTACCCTCTAATCTCTTACTGGCCCCTCTCTTTGGCTGAGCCTCACCAGAAGCCAAAGTGATGGGAACCTGATTAAAATAGTCCATTAGAGGTCAGCCTCTGGGCCACAGCACAGAGTAGAGAATAATGATGTGATCTGGAGAGGGAAACAGAAAATGAAACAAATCTTTGTCTTTGTAAGGCTTATATTCTAGTATATATAATGCACTTAACACTCTACCTAGCATAGATTGTGGGTTCAATAAATATTAGTTATTGGTAGTATTGTTTGCAGTAATAATATTATGGAGAGAAGGTTTTTAAGACTTTTCTAATAAATAAATTTCCAGTTTTACTTATATTGTACTTTTAGTAGTAGAGTATTTTTTCTTAAGCATTCCCTAAGGTGTATGTGTATGGTTTATTTTACTTTATCTTATTTTGGTGGTTAAAATAACAACAATGACAAAGCATACACACACACACATGACATTAAATATACCATCTTAACAGTTTTTAAGCTTATAGCTTGGTAGTGGTAAGTATATTCACATTGTAGATACCTAAGATTTTAAATAGAGTTATGAGTCACATAACCAAGATAAATTGTGAGAAATACATTGTTGGACAGTGTCTTATTGTCTGACCATCATAGAGTGTACTTACACAAACCTGGATGGTTTAGCCAACTACACACCTAGCCTACATGGTGGAACCTGTTGCTCCTAGGCTACAAACCTTCGCAGCATGTTACTGTACTGAATACTGTATGCAATTATAATGGTATTTGTTTATCAAAACAGAAAAAGTACAGTAAAAAATATGGTAATCTTATGGGACCACCATCATGTATGCAGTCCAACATTGATCAAACTATCCTTATGCAGCACATGGCTATACTTATGAGGCAGACATCTTTAGAAAGAAATCTTTTGGCAAGGGTAGAGGATTAATTGTCTTGGGATGTTTTCTTAGGGGGAATTTGAAGCATTACTTTTCCAAACTCCAATCTAAATCATTGCCCCTGACAAGTGACTTTCCTGAGATCAGATCAAATCTATCAGATTAATCTTACAGAAAAGTGCTTTTTACCAAGTTATAAGAAGTTAGCAGGGCAGGTTCTATCTCTTATACCATTAGTATGAGAACACAAACAATGAAAATCTCGTTTTACATTTTCAAAAGTAATATTTAACCTAGGTCATTACAGACACTGGAATCATTTTTAAATGATTTAGTTATATTTGCTCAACTTCTATTATTAATTGATTAGTGAGCTAATATGTTTTTGAATATTTTCAAAAGCAGTAATTAAAATATTTCTGGCTTGCCTTTATTTAACCAAAAAGTTTAGTTAATAAAGTACTGCATTTCTCAAACATCAGAACTTCCATAAATTATAAAGGTGCTGGGGTTTTTTGTAATTGTTATTTATGATTTGTATCCTAGCAATTTTTTTTTCTTACAGACTTTCAAATCACTTTACATATATTGGGAAAATTCACATTATTTGAGGGGCAAAAGTGGCAAATGTAAATGACAGGTCTTCTAAAGTAAAGCAGAGCACTAAGAAAGACACCTAATAAATAGTCATTACCTTAAAGTACCTATGCAATCAGCTTAAATGTACTAAACACTCTGGTATGAGTGCACCTGTTTGTGGATATCTTTTATTACACTGGCCCAAAATGAATAAGACTGTAAGACTTTCTTGTATGGTTTATTTATTTAAAATATTAAAGAAATTAACATCCTCTGCAGACCTTTCCTTTGCAGCAGCAAAGTACATCAACTGGCTTTTTCATGTTTATTTCCAGCCAACTCAGACAGTAATGCCAGGACAAGTCATGCGGGTTACTACAGGTGCTCCAATACCCTGCGGTGCTGATGCAGTAGTACAAGTGGAAGATACTGAACTTATCAGGGAATCAGACGACGTACGTCATCACCAAGTCTTATTGTGCTGTTGTTCCTATGGCAGTATTATGTCACAACTATTTTCTGCAATGTTTGTGAGATTAACCCAGTTATTTTGCCATATGGTGGGATCTTATATTGTAGTATATGAGTCTCCAGTAAATAAGAAATTTCCTTAAGCTTGAAAATCTGTTGCTGCAGGACGGGTTTCTATGACCATTGCTGTTATAGCAGAATTTGAACCATATTTAGCCCAAGCAGTTTCACATGCAAACAAGGAAAAGAAAGTACCTCAAGAAAGCAGAGATATTAAGGGTTGACATACCTCCCAGAGCAGAGACATTAATGATTGGCATACCTTCCAGCTGAGAAATTTGCCATTGAGACTAGCTTCTGATAAAACGTCAAGGAGTTCATGAAATTAGAATTTACTAGAGAAGAATTTAACAAACTCTTGGGCAAGTTCTTGAATATTACCCTAAGCCAAGTATTTGAATCAAATGACCCTTTCACCTCTGGTTTTCTGTACTTCAGGAAAAAGCAGTGCCACCAAATGACGGCCTAGAAATACTAAGTGTATGTCAGTTTTCCCTCCACTACCTCAAATAAAAGATGCTGGGATCTTTTTGGACCTAAGCAAGCCTGTATCGCACTGAAAATAGTGGCAAGTTGTTGAAACCAGAGTATAAGCCAGTAATAAAAGTTGAATAAATTCAACTGAGGTTAATAATAAGCTTACTTGTTTTGTGAAGAAGGTTTAAAGATATATTTTAAAAGCTAAGGTTAAAAATAAACATATATTCTCCCAAGCTGAGAAGATAGTAAAATTTGTCCATGCCAAGAGACAGATGCTTTCCTTGATCTGAAGCTTTTCTTTTTAATCACCTTTCCACATACAAGACATAAAATTCAACTGTTGGGAAAGAGACCACATTGCCTGCTGTTAAAACTGTCTAAGCAGATTTATTGGCATCAGGGAAGCCCGCAGAGCATTGAAATCCAGAACACATGCATCCGTAGACTCTACCAGATGACAAGACACAGTTCCAATGTCACAGTATTATTCATAGCCCAAAAATGTAAAACTGATTATTGCCATTAATGTACAGAAATCTACTACCAGGCAAACTATAAGTCCTTTACTGAAATTTCTGCAGGTATTCGGTAACCTTGGCATGGTATTGAACTCATGATTCATGGGAAGAGAAGAAAGATATTATCTCCATGCACACTTCATTAGGGTAGCCATCTATATCCATCTACATATATATATAATATATAAATATATAAATTATATATATAATGTACTAGTTCAAATATTAAATCTTGCTTTACAATTGGTACATTTTTTAAAAACATAAAAATTAGAGCAAAAAAAATTTATTTATTGGTACTAAACCTTCTAATTTTTCAGGAACCTGGGTTAGAAATTCAGTGTTTTCAAAAGGTATAGCAAATAGTTTTTGGTTTCTCTATATTTGTGTATGTCCTAGGCCTATCTGATGGTAAAAGTATCTGAGTAGCTAAATTCTACTGCTCAGAAATTCTGTTTGAAATTACATAATCTGCTCTTATAGGGCACTGAAGAACTTGAAGTGCGAATTCTGGTGCAAGCTCGGCCAGGCCAAGATATCAGGTAACTTCAAAACACATACAATATATAGCCCACTTTTGTTTCTTTTTCTTTTTTTTTTACACCCATCTCTCTTCAGTCATTTATTTTATTTTATTTTATTTTATTTTTGGCTGGCTTTTGTTTCTACATGATCATTTATTTAGGAAACCCTGGGTACTAAATATGTTCCCATGTCAATTAGCCATTAATTTTCAGGGCTTTAACAAGAAGAAAAATGAATTCTGTTTCACATCTCTGCCCTACCTACTTTTTAATGAAGGACAGTAAAAGCAAGTTAGTCAAAGGCAAGATGAGAAAGAGGTAAAGTCACGAGCCTACATATTCTACAGTTAATTCTACTCCTAGATAATCCTGAATTACCCAATCCCATCCCTAAGTAATCCAGAATTTGGTATTAACTCAGATAATCCAAGAATTGGGTATTTACACAATTAACTTATAGCATATGCTCTACTGAGCACCAATAATACGGGAATAATCTACTCCTCTTTATATACAAAGAGGAGGCTATTGTCCTATAATAAATAGTGTGTATACCTTAAATTATTTTTCTTACAATGGAATATGTTTACCTTGATTCCATTAATACTAATTTGCTGAACGTCCCTTTGTAATGAAACTACACTTCTCCCATCCTTATGGCAGCACACCAAGGTGAATGTACCTCTGTGGCCACAGATCAGGACCGACCTACGTGGAAATTAGCTCTATGACCATAACCTCATTGGCATCATTCTCCTTGCTACAAAGCTAGCCAGCTGTGGACCTCTTATCATCAATGCTCCTAGATATTTTGATACAGATTCTTGCCTTATCAAAGAAAGTTTGCAATGGGTAGTTTTACTATAATGTAGCACAAAACAATTTGTAATTTTCTTCACAGGTACTCAAGAAAACAAAATTTCAAATATGAAGTAACAGGTTCTTCTTTAGCCGTAATATAATCCAATCCTATTTCTGTTTTCTGTTGTGTGATTCAACTTTTAAAATTAAAAAAGCATAGGATTTTTAGAATCCCTTCATTTCGTTATTTTCCTACTACTTTATTTCTTGACTTTTTTCTCCTCTTGAATGTCCTCCTTTTTTGACACTAAAGTTTCCCTCATTAGTTGAGAAAATGTTCTTAATCACACTGTTTATGGTTCTGCTTTGACTTTCAGACCCATCGGCCATGACATTAAAAGAGGGGAATGTGTTTTGGCCAAAGGAACCCACATGGGCCCCTCAGAGATTGGTCTTCTAGCAACTGTAGGTGTCACAGAGGTTGAAGTTAACAAGTTTCCAGTGGTTGCAGTCATGTCAACAGGGAATGAGGTATTAAAAATAAAAGTGGGGTGAGGGCCTGTAAGGTAAAGGTATTTCTGACATCTGTTTTGTGTTGTAAATAGAATGTTGTATATTATAGATCATACCAGTGGGTCCACATTCTTATAAGAGGGAACAATAAATTGGCCTTAGGATAGTTTCAAGTTCAGAATATGAGAACAAGGAAGAACCAGTAAAAAAAAATATGTATTATGAAATGTCCTCTTCTACTTACTAGAATGAAATATTATAACCAATGGCCTTTTCACATATTCAGTATACATAAACAAAGAATTTTAGCTGCTAGCTATAGATATTAAACTATGCAAACTCAGTACTTTGTCTGTTAAGACAATGAATTGTGCCCATCCTGCTGTTGAAATGATAGGCCACTTCTGTGTGGTAAGTATCAGTGAATCAGGACATCATGGCTAGCACTTCTTGTGAAAAGTTCCATGTAATCTTTAATCACCAAGAGGGACTTGATAATCAGGTTTTTTTTTTTTCTCTCTCTCTCTCTCTCTCTCTACAGCATCTCTAGTGGCATGGTATTCAGAATAGGTTGAAATGTCATTTCATTCCTGATTTAGAAAAGAGAATTTAGTCCATCTCTTTCTGAGAACTCTTGAAAAACTTCCTATTGCCTGTTTTGCTTAGGTTGTGCAAAACTTCAGTCAGAAACTCTAAGGTCAAATGGAGAATATTAAAAAGTGAATCTGCTGGAAACTCAAAACCTTATAGAAGAATCAGAAACTATTGAGATTTTTTAAAGTATTAATAATTCCTCTGACCTTACTATTAAAGAAAAATTAATGGTATATTTTAAAATCTCTTTGTTCTGAAAATAAACCCATCATTATTTTTAATTTCTTGAAGTCTTGGAAATGAAAATTTTCAAAGGTCATTTTAGGACCTTATAGTTCTTTTGGTTGGAGCAAAACAATGGACTATTTTATTTTGCTAATGGAGAGCTAAATCAGCATTCCAGATGTGCTTACTTCCCAGGATACATGTACTAGTCATTTCTAAAAATTATCAGTTGACAGAAAACAAACATTCTTTTTAATTTGATCTACACAGTGATGATTTTAATATCCTTAGGACCAAATAACATTATATTTAGCATCAGAAATAAATTTCTGTTAAACTGGCTAACTCATTGAACCATTCTCTTTTATGATTTACTTACATGCTTTGTACATCAAGTAAGTTCATGGAGTTTGAGAAAGCAAAACAGAATTAGCACACTCATGGCCCAGGCATGGTGCCTTATACTTGTAATTCCAACACTTCAGGAGGATCAGTTGAGACTAGGAGTTCAAGACCAGCCTGGGCAACATAGTGTGACCCTCCCTTTACTAAAAAATTAAAAATAGCTGTGCATGGTAGCACATGCCTATACTCCTAGCTACTGGGGAGGCTGAGGAGGGAAGATCACTTGAACCCAGGAATTCAAGGCTGTAGTGAGTTATGATGGCACCACTGCACTCCAGCCTGGGTGAAAGAGTAAGACCCTTTCTCAAAGTTAAGTAAAATAAGAATTAACACACTCATAAATAACTATTTAGTGAATAGGAAATTTTGTTTAAGTTATATCGCTCATATTTCTCTCTCATGAGTCCAGCTTTTGTAGGGCTGGACTCATTCTCTCAATTATCCTACAGAGCATATTGTTAGTTTTTTTTTTAAGTTACCTTTTACATTCATTTAAAACTATTTACTGGAAGTAGGCTAAGGTGATGGTGTGAGAATAGAGATGGTACTTATATCATGAAATCTAGGGAAGAGTTTGTAATCTTACTTCTCTGCCCCCATAGAGCTTATTATTCTTGAAAAGGCTTTGACTAGTTCTACATGACTCATTCCCCTACTTAAACAGGCCAGTTATATTTAAGTATACCACAGTTTTCCAAGAGAATAATGCTTCTAAATTCTGTAATCTCTGGTCCCATATAGCTCAACATTCCTCCCTTTTTCCCATTCAAAGTTAGTTTTCATTATGACTCTATAGGTTAGTTTTGTTCAACAGATAATTGGGTACCTCTGTGCCAGGCATTATACTGGAAATTGGTGATAAAAGAGATGAATAAAGCATATTATCTCTCCTGAAGGCTTGAGATTCACAGACACCCAGAAAACAATAGCAAAAAATAATAATTATTTATTTTCAGAGAGGGCAAAAGAAATTGCACTTAATGTGGCAAGGCCATAATTTACCCAATCACAGTACAAACTTCCCTTAAGTGTTGGTTTTAGTTGCCTTTGATACATATGGTTTCAGGCCAGGCATGGTGGCTCACACCTGTAATCCCAGCACTTTGCAGCACTTTGGGAGGCCAAGGCAGGCAGATCACTTGAGATCAAGAGTTTGAGACAAGCATGGGCAACATGACGAAACACCGTCTCTACTGAAAATATAAAAAAATTAGCTGTATATGGTGGTGCATGCCTGTAGTCCCAACTACTTGGGAGGCTGAGGCAGGAGAATTGCTTAAACCCAGGAAGCAGAAGTTTCAGGGAACTGAGATCATGCCACTGCACTCCAGCCTGGGTGACAGAGCGAGACTCCCTCTCAAAAAAAAAAATTAAAGATATATATGCTTTCACATATGTCCACTTCTTGAATCTCATATGACATATTGGTAGGCAGTACAGTTGCCTTGGCAATCCAAAGAATGCCATACAAGATGTCTATGTATACTCCTTAAACCCTGCCCAGTATTTTGTTGCTGTATGAGCTTGTTAAAGACCAGGAATTTTTCAAAATTGAGGATATAGTTATCAACTATAGCTAATATGGAATAGCTGGTTTAGATATTTGTTGATTTCAACAAACTGTGCATATTAAGATTTAGATATGCAACCTGTGGTGGTTCATGCCTCAAATCCTGGCACTTTGGGAGGCTGAGATGGGTGGATCACTTGGAAGCTAGGAGATTAAGACGAGCCTGGACAACATGGCAAAACCCTGTCTCTACAAAAAATACAAAAATTAGCCAGGCACAATGGTATGCCCCTGTAGTCTCTGCTACTCAAGAGGCTGAGGCAGAGGTTGCAGTGAGCAATGACCATACCACTACACTACAGCCTGGGAGACAGAGCAGGATCCTGTCTCAAAAAAAAAAAAAAAGAGAAGAAGAAAGGGGAGGGGAGAGAGAGAGCAAGAAAGAGAGAAAAAGGAAGGAAGGAGAGAGAAAGAAGAAATAAAAACAGCAGTGTATATTGCTTAGGAGACAGGTACACCAAAATCTCACTAATCACCACTAAAGAACTTATTCATGTAACCAAATGCCACCTATTCCCCAAAAAGCTATTGAAATAATTGTTTTTAAAAAAAGGAAAACTCATTCAGAAAAAAAAAAGAAATAAAAAGAGTCTTGCCATTTTGTTCAAGCTGTCCTTAAACTTCTAGGCACAAGTGATCCTCCTATCTCAACTTCCCAAGCAGCTGAGACTACAGGCTCATGTTACCATGGCTGCTTCACAGAACAGTTTTAAGCCAAAATTATTAAATCAGTCAAATCTGTCCAGAGTCATCTTAATGGAAATATTATATTAATTATTTTCTAATATAATTTGTAGACCTCTGTTTTTCCAAAACAAATTCTTAAAGACTCCTTAAATTATGTTTAAAAGCTCTGAATGTTTCTCTTCCCTTCTTATCTTATAATCTAGTAAGCAAGGCAATTAGCATAACTCTCAGTTAAACCTCTTTTTTTCCCCCAGAGTTTTATTAAAAGTTATTTGGAACAGCAACATGCTTCATAAGAGCTCATTGACTTTTCTCCCTTTTGTGTTAGATCTATTTATCTGAACTATCTGGTATTCTAAGGTATGTCCATAATAGCCAGAATTGAGTTTTGATCAATTAATAAGTTAAGTTTCCAAACGACAGAGAAAACAAGTGAAATGATTACCACAAATATGTAAAGAGCTGACCACGATGAATGTCTAATCATCTTCTCTTTGAAAAGAGGGAAAAGTCTTAAATGCAAGCAAACCCATTTCAGTACATGAGAAAGAAAGGGAGAGTCATTACAACCAGTTCAAATAGTATCTTAGGCCCTTGATAATTCCTCAAGACTATCAGATTAAGTCTCTAGAAGTACTTTTAAGTGAATAATTGTAGCTATATCAAAAGTACTTCAAAATGGCCACTGCAATTCCAAGTTGTCCTTGATGAAATTATGCTTTTTAGTAAGTTAAATTTGTGAAAGAAAAAACAGAAGCCAGAGTTACGCCTGGAGATAGTGCAAGTTTATTATTAAATGAACCTATGAATTCATTAGCTAATGGTCATTCAAAAGGGAAAAATAGCACTTAAATAGTGTATCTAAAGTCCTCTACAGTAAAGGTTGGACCCCTGACAGCTAACTCTAAAAATCAGCAAGCTAGAATGGGTAGAGAGGAAATTTCTCCCAAAGCCAGTTTCTCATAGGCAAAACTAAGAAAAGTTCTTATAGGCACACAACAATGTGGCCAGTTGACAGATAGGATGGCCAGTTTCAAATCAATACTTTAGCAGACCTTTAGTAAGAAAAACGAAAATTAGTACACATCCAATCAGATAGCCAAACAATTCTGGAAACCTTATACTTACAACAAAATCAGTATCAGCTGTCTTTGGGAGTTCAACAAAAAAAGAATCAGAACTCAAAACAAGGGCTGGAATTATCTAAGCGTCATAGACAAGGAATCCCCCAAGCAAAAGGGCTCAAGAGACCTCACTGAAATATAGTATAACCAATAATAAAACTGGTGGCAAAGTTTCCCACCTAAGTCTTGATAGGATTTTCATAATACCAAAATCCTAATACAAAGACCACCAGGGAAACCTGTTAATCATACAAAATGGTTATATTAAAGTTTCCGAGCAAAAGAAAACATCACCTTGACAGTGTTGGGGAAGAAAAAATAATATTTCTTCTACCCTTATGAGTTCTTACCTGTGACCTCTATAAAAGACAATTAACAACAACAACAACAAAAACAGAAGTTACTTAACATGTATACCTATGTGGCATTTTAAGTAATTTCAAAAAAAAACACAGAATTAAATGGAAGGGTATAAGGCTAAATATACTAGAATAAACTCACAATTTTCCCTTTTAAAACTGAATCTTGTTTTCTGTTATACTTCCAGTCATCTTGGTAATGATGTGACATCTTGGGAATAATGATCTCCCATGTATACATGGGGGGAGATACCCAAGGGAAAATTAGTATCTCCTGAAGTGATGGCTGAGAAGTCTGGCTTAAATAACATCTTCAAAATTAAAAAACAACAAAACAAAACAAAAATAGCATCTTCAGCAAAGAACAATACATTCTTGGAGTAGTGATGAGACACGCACAAAAATTAAAGGACCTTGAGTCTCTAGAGCTGGCAATTTGTGGGAAAGCAAATATATGGGAAACTAATGATAGATTAAAGGCTAGTTAATAAAGTTTGATATATAAATTCTTCTGGCGCCATCTGCAGGCTACGTGTCCAAAGATGTCCTACTTTTAGCAAATAGGAAAAAGGCAGAGACCTTTTCTTATATTTTTCTTCTCAGTGCCTTCAGCTCAAAAATAATTGTTATGCCAAAGTGGCATATTTTGGGATGGCATATTCTGCTACCCTTCAACAGAGTCGCAGTAATGTTTCACAAGTGGGAAGTCATAAAATTTTATGAGGGTGTTTATAGGATTTTGAGGACTAGGGTTGATCATGGGGTAATTTTAAGGTAGAAGTTATTAAGCAAGGTCTGGGCAGAGACTGGTCAGAATCTGTAAGATAGCCGAATTGGTGGATCACAATCCGTCTTATCTTCAGAGCATATGAGTCCATGTGGAGTTACTGTTAAAACAAGTTGCCCATGAGCTTATCTTAAAGTATATAGATCTGAACAAGCTTGTATTAAAAGCAATTTAACTTAAGGTAGTTCAAGTTACATGTCTTGGTTTAGAACAGTTTAGCTGTTATGCAAATAATGGTATAGTTTTGCAAGTTGAGGTTTCTGTTTTATTTCTCAGACGGAAATAGTTTATAGGCCAGGCAGCCAGTTATAAGGCTTTCCCCGAAATTAAGGCATAATATAATGAATGCTTAGAATTGTTTTGGGGGGTAGTAAGAGAGTGAATGAAAATGTAGGGTCAAGGAAGAGATGGATTAAAATATTCTTAATGATTGAGGCCTTTGGAAAGAGTGGACTACAAAGGAGAAAAAGAGAATTAAATGTTTAAAAAGTGGAAAGATAGTGGCCAGGTGTGGTGGCTCACACCTCTAATCCAAGCACTTTGGGAGGCTGAGGCAGGTGGATAACCTGAGGTCAGGAGTTCAAGACCAGTCTGGCCAATGTGGCAAAACCCCGTCTCTACTGAAAATGCAAAAATTAGCTGGGCGTGGTGGCATGCACCTGTAGTCCCAGATACTCGGGAGCCTGAGGCAGGATTGCTTGAACCCAGGAGGTAGAGGTTGCAGTGAGCTGTGAATGCACCACTGCACTCCAGCCTGTGTGACAGAGTAGAACTCAATCTCAAAAAAAAAAAAAAAAAAAGGTGGGAAGATAGTGGCACCATTGATAGTACCAAAAATAGGAAATTGAACTTGGTGACTTGATATGGAAATGATGGGTTATGTTTTGTTTTACTTTGTTTTTCTTTTGAAACTATGATAAAGTTCAGACATCATTCCCAAGATGACTGGAAGTATAACAGAAAATAAGATTCAGTTTCAAAAGGGAAAGTTGTGAGTTTATTCTAGTATATTTAGCCTCATACTCTTCTATTTAATTCCGTATTGTTTTCTTTGAAATTACTTAAAATGCACTATAAATCCTACACCCTCATTTAACTAGCTATTATTTCATTATGTCAATTTTACAGACAAATACCTGGTTCTCCAGTGATCTCTAATTATCTGTTATTTCTGGAACTGTTTGCAGCAAAATAACAGAGAAGACTATGAATAGCAAAGAAAACACCCTGATAACAGAGGAATCTTACTTAGTTAATGGTCAGCACCCTGCTTTGAAAAAAAATGATATAACCAGTTTTCTTTCTAAAGCAACTGGTTTGATTAATGGAGTTAAAGAACTGCAAGCCTTGCCCCTTATAAAATGATAATCACTTTAATAACTGTGTGTTAATTAAGATCAGAAAGTTAATCTATATTAACATTGCAATAGCAATTTTCTAAGCACTGCCAGTGAGTAAGAATGAAAGTGGGCAATGTCACATGGCATCTGATTAAGTTAAATTAGTACAGTATTTGAAGGGAAGACTCCCTGGTGACACTGAATAAGATGGTCAGACTTTTCCTGTAGTCTATTGGAAGGGGACAGTTGGTTGCAAAACTACTACTTTTCCAATATAAAGTCAAAAGTCCAGCCACATGAGTCTGAAGGAAGATTAGGGGCTTGTGGTTACTGTTTGGGAGAATTCATATATGAAGTTCTGGTGTTGGCCATATTAGTATATTAAACATTTTAAATGTGCAGGCTTGCCTTTAACCTTCTAAATTAGTAGTGCAGGTTTTCTCACTTCAAATAAGTACTTTTTTTTTTACTTTAAAATTTCTGAAATAAAAGCATATCTTAAAACTGATACATAAATTGCTGTAAGAATGTGTGTGTGCTAAGGACCCCTTACTCTTAGGCATTTCATAATTTAATAGTCTGTGTTCACATTATAAACTAATTTCATCTGTACTAGCATATAGGGGTAACAATATGAGAACAATTGGGAGGAAAGTAGGTTTCTTTCAACATCATATGTCATAAAGAAAGGAAAGAGAATCACATTTACTGTACATTTATCTGCATAAATTGAGTGTTCATTATCTCAATGCTAACAATTACCTTGCAAAGTAGTTATTATTACTATATTTTATAAATGAGAAAATTAAGACAATGAATTTTGTCAACTTGAATTTGAACCCTGTCTTAACCCAAAGCTCTTCCAACTATACAATCTGACTACCTCATTGGAACTTCCTAAGATAAAATAAGCTTCTTTAATTTTCTTCATAGACATAGTAGATATTAAATCTCTAAAGGTTAATTCAGTTCAGAATAATGGAATTGTGTGTACATGTAGCTAAGTATTAAGTTTGCTAGTATCAGAGACAAAACATCTGTCGTCTTCTCCTTCATATAAGCTTAACTTCTTTGATACTGTTGACCCCACTTCAGGAAATAGACCAAAAAGTTTAAAAGAAAAGATAAACAATTATTCTGTTCAAACTTAAGGATATCATGTCACACAATGTATACCTTAAATATTCCCAATGAAAGACAAATTGAAAAATAATATTGGGAGAAAAAAAGATAATTGTTTTATTTAGTTTGGCCCAGTATCTCCAGAGCATTATTGTCCAATTGGAGCGAAACCTGGTAGGATATTTGGCCTGCAGTTCAATCACCAGTGAAATTTCTGAGTGTTTTTTGACTTTTCTGAACATTTTCTCATCCTCCTATAATTTCGATATTTATTAACTGACGCAAGAACAGAAAATCAAACACCGCATGGTATCATTCATAGGCAGGTATTAAACAATTAGAACACGTGGACACAAGGAGGGGAGCATCACACACTGTAGTCAGTTGGCAGGGACTAGGAGAGGGACAGCGGGGCATCGAGAGGGATAACGTGGAGAGAAATACCAGATATAGGTGACAGGGGGAAGGCAGCAAACCACTTTGCCATGTATGTACCTATGCAACAATCCTGCATGATCTGTACATGTACCCTAGAACCTAAAGTTCAATTAAAAAAAAAAAATCCTTTGGGCATTCATCTTCAAAATGCCAGATACTGCTGTAGGTGCTAGATGTGCTAAAAACTCTGTTTAGTAGATCTTTTTTTATTAGAAATATGCAACATTATCCAAATAGAATAATTTGTAGTGGTTTTTTTGGCTTTGTAGCTGCTAAATCCTGAAGATGACCTCTTACCAGGGAAGATTCGAGACAGCAATCGTTCAACTCTTCTAGCAACAATTCAGGAACATGGTTACCCCACAATCAACTTAGGTATTGTAGGAGACAAGTAAGTGTTGGATGTTATTCTGGAAAGTTTTTATTGTACAAATATGAGTTTTTGGAGTACTCACTACATGGAGTTGCTGCTAAAGAGACAGAAACTTAATGTGATAATTTTCACTTATCTCATTCTTCAGAACCCAAAGAATTATGGAGGTATCTGTGTCCTTTAGAGATAAAGATTTCTTGGAATGCCTCTGAAAGCAAGAGAAATACTTTACTTTCCTGTAGGTGTATTAGGTTTCATAGGACTTTTTGTAATAGTGTTGGCTTTATCCCAGTGGAGCTGATGGTGATGGCATTATTCTGATTCACATTTTTACTTCTTTCAAGAAAGACAAGAAAAACATAGGTAAGAAGAGAAAGCAAGATTGTCAAAATTAGCACTACCTATTTATTTGAGGTTTAAGTACAATTTTTTCTATGACTTCTGTATTGATTTTTGTATCTTTATGTAACCTGTTTCTCCAGGCTTCACCTACTTGAAAATACAAAGGGAAGCACATTGACTATAATTACTCGTCTTTAAGAGCATATTACCCCCATCTACTGAATTAACTCAGCCCTCTGCTAAGTTTTCTAAGTATTTCTGTGAATCTCCAGTGCTGTCTCACATGTGATCAAAAGCAAGTCTACATTTTCTGAACATCCCAGTATCATGCAACACTGTTGCCTGGCTATCTTTCAAACTCTTCCCAGTTCAATAGACCTACACCTGCTTTTAGTAATACTCAAACATCAACCCAGTGGAGACAAGGCTAAGAGACAGATCTGAGTGATAAATAGCCATGATGTATCCATCACCCATAATTCCCTTTCTCTCTTATCACTACCTCATCACTGAGTAGACCTTATTAAGCATGGATCTTTCTTCCCTTATCATGAGTACCTTTCCAAAACTCAAATGTGCTTTTGAAGAGGTTCTGACCTACCATTCACAAGGTATGCTCTGACAAGGCATGCTATGAACTTTATCTTAGGCTCAAACTGGACACAGTCTAAACTAAGCTTGTCCAGGCCAGGCGCAGTGGCTCATACCTATAATCCCAACACTTTGGTAGGCCAAGGTGGGCAGATTGCTTGAGACCAGGAGTTTGAGACCAGCCTGACTAACATGGAAAAACCCCATCTCTACTAAAAAATAAAAAAATTAGCTGGGTATGATGGAGCATGCCTGTAATCCCAGCTACTCGAGAAGCTGAGACATAAGAATCACTTGAGCCTGGGAGGCAGAGGCTGAAGTGAGCTGAGACCACAATACTGCACCCTAGCCTGGGCAACAGTGAGACTCTGTCTCAAAAAATAAATAAATAAACAAATAAACTAAGCTTCTCCAACCCTTGGCCCATGGGCCACATACAACCCAGAATAGCTTTGAATGTGGCTGAACACAAATTTGTAAACATTCTTAAAACATTATGAGAGTTTTTTTTTTTGCAATTTTTTTTTTTAGCTCATGAGCTATCATTATTATATTTATGTGTGGCCCAAGACAATTCTTCTTCTTCTAATTTGGCCCAGGGAAGCCAAAAGATTGGACACCCCTTGTCTAAACCTTGGACACAGCACCTTGCCACTAACCTGAAAGGTAGTGGCTTTTATGTCATGTAAACTTTTGAACTTCTCTTCTTTCCTTCTGATTTTTTTTTTCTTTCTCTGAGGTCACTGGAGTAGAAGCTGATGCATTTTCAAATGTCATTCTTTTTAAAATCTTCACCATTCATATTTACATGGATGTTTAGTTCTAAAGAAGTTTGGCTGGAAGTGGTGGCTCACGCCTGTAATCCCAGCACTTTGGGAAGCCAAGGCGGGTGGATCACTTGAGGTCAGGAGTTCAAGACCAGTCTGGCCAACATAGTAAAACCCATCTCTACTAAAAATACAAAAATTAGCTGCCAGGAGGCAGAGGTTGCAGTGAGCTGAGATCACACCATTGCACTGCAGCCTGGCTAACAGAGTAAGACTCCATCTCAAAAAAAAAAAGTTCATCAGTAACTAACCAGCCAACTTAGAGCCCATGCTAGTAAAGCCAGCATACAGGTTACCTAGCATCACCCTGTCCAGGTCCCTAGTCCTAGGAAGGGAATAGAAATAACGTACTTTAGAAAAGGAAAAAAAAGGAAGGAAAGGGAAAAACAAAGCCAGTTATTTGAATTTGGGCCTGAGCAGTAACCTATCCTTTCAGATACAAGTACCTAAAAACTATCCTATGCAGATATAGCTTTTTCAAAGACCAAAGTCAGCCTCTCAGAAGAGATGGGATAAATCCAAGAGTTTGAAAACACAAAGATGAGGCAAGCAGGCCTGAAACTTCATGGAACAAACACCAGATTCTTAGGGTTATTTCCCTCCTACCAATGGCTCTGGCCCTACCTCTAAGTGCATGAATGAGCTCTAAGAAATATCAAAAGGGAAAAGGGAACTTTTAAATTATTTTTACCCTAAGTTGTTCAGGACTACCATTCTGTCCATTCTGTCCATTCTCCCTTTTACTGTTATACTTTTATATTTTTTAAAAAAGAGGTTACTTAATATACTATATATACTGCCATTATCTTGAAGTACTCTAAAGGCCAAAACATCATTGAAAGACTAACATGTTGGTATGCTGATATTTGTTTGGGGTCCACAATGTTAATTTATGGTGGATATTTCCTAATATTGTTGGTATTACATTTAACTCCAAAATATACTTTGAAAAAAGTATAAAGAACAATAAAACTCTAAACAAGTTAAGGCAATTCAGTGAATGTACAAATCTCTAGTGTATTCCCTTTTTTTGATATTAATACCTTATGTTAAACTGAGAACAATTTTTTTAAAAAAAAGGATGCAGATCTAGGCTTTTTTAGTCTTAGAGTGCTATATTGAAGAGGTCCAGAGTAAATAGTGTAGAATACAGAGGTGGAATGTGGGAGGAAAGAATTTATAATTGTTCTAATGGAAATCTGTGCTGGGAATTTAGTAAAGAAAACAAGGTATTTAATCTACAGTCTATTGATACTCTATGAAGGCTGCCCTCCTTCATTTCTTCTATTTAGCCTTTTGCTAAAGAAAGCAAATATTGTTACACAGAAGTATCTGGGTAAAGCTCTCCAAGGAAACAAGCAGAATCATGGGAGAAACTGTACCTGATGTTTAAAGCAGAGAGAGAAATAGCTAAAGAATGTCAATAAGGGCTGGGCACAGTGGCTCATGCCTAGAATCCCAGCTCTCTGGGTGGCCGAGATAGGTGGATCACCTGAGATCAAGAGTTGGAGACCAGCCTGGCCAATATGGCAAAGCCCCATCTCTACTAAAAATATAAAAATTAGCTAGGCATGGTGGTGCACGTCTATAATCCCAGAGGCTGAGGCAGGAGAATTGCTTGAACCTGGGAGGCGGAGGTTGCAGTGAGCTGAGATTGGGCCACAGCACTCCAGCCTGGGCAACAAAAGCAAAACTCCATCTCAAAAAAAAAAAAAAAAGAATGTCAATAAGCACAGAACCTTAATTATGACAGATAAGGGTAGAAAGTGACAGCTCTATTTGTGTCATTAAAAAAGGTTTGAGTCTGGGTTTTTTTGGGTTTTGTTTGTTTGTTCGCTTTTGAGATGGAGTCTCACTCTACCCAGGCTGGAGTGCAGTGGCACAATCTCGGCTCACTGCAACCTCCGCCTCTGGGGTTCAGGCCATTCTCCTGCCTCAGCCTCCCAATTAGCTGGGACTAAAGTTGCATGCCACCATGCCCAGCTAATTTTTGTATTTCTTAGTAGAGACTGGGTTTCACCATGTTGCCAGGATGGCCTCCATCTCTTGATCTCATGATCCACCCGCCTTGGCCTCCCAAAGTGCTGGGATTACAGGCGTCAGTCATCGCTCCTGGCCCTGGTTTTTAAATTCTATATGATTCTGTTTCTCAGTTCTTTTTCTTTTCCCCTGCCATAATTTTGAGAATCAATGTAAAATAGAAGAGTAAGATTTTGTAACTCTTTGAAGTAGGTTGGACTAGTTGGCCTTTGCTTGCTTATTTAAAAAGAGTTTAATGTAATAGTACTATGAAGATTACAAGAGGGATGCTTCAAATACCTAAGAATTAACAGCTATATTTGAAAATTATTAATTCATAAACATTATATATATATTAAAATACATTTCCTAAGATATGTTTTCTCACACCGTTTGGAACACAGTACTATTGGAGTTCTTATAGTCTTTTACTTTAGAAAGACAGATTTTGAAACCCAAAAGATGTTACGTAACTTGCTCAGCATTATACTACTAGTGGCAAAGATAAAAACTGAATTTAAATTTCCCGAGATTGACAATCCATAATTCTCTACTACCATTATAAAGACAAGGTATTGTATACCTGTGTACTAGTATGGTCTGGATTGGTCAGAGAGAGTTTTAAGAATCTCTAGTTTCAAGCTAGAACTTAAAGAATGAGTAGGATTTAGATAGGAAAAGAGAGTGTGTTAATCCAAGCAGGAAACAGAATGAACAAAAGTAGAGACGTAGAAACAAATACTGTCTAGAGAATGCAAAATGAACAGCTACTCAGGGTAGGCCAGACTGATTAGAACAAGAGGTTCAGGTAGAAGGTTAAGACAGGTAAATTGTGTAGAAATTTGAAGCCAGATTTTGAAAGTCTTTGCAATTTAGGCAGAACTACCCAATTTAGTTAAATTTGAAGTTTGGGTGTGTTTTGGTTTGTTTGGGTATCTTTCTGCAGAATTGACATAAAAAACTATTATTTTATTATTTTTATTTATTATACTTTAAATTTTGTGGTACACGTGCAGAATGTGCAGGTTTCTTACTTAGGTATACATGTGCCATGGTGGTTTGCTGCATGCATCACCCTGTCATCTATATTAGATATTTCTTCTAATGCCATCCCTCCCCAATCCCCCACCCCCTGCTATTCCTCCCCTAGCCCCAACCCCCCAAAAGGCCCCTGTGTGTGATGTTCCCCTTCCTGTGTCCATGTCTTCTCATTGTTCAACACCCACTTATGAGTGAGAA